CTGTGCTCACCTGTCCTCTGTACTCACCTGTACTCTGTGTACTCACCTGTCCTCTGTGCTCACCTGTACTCTGTACTCACCTGTCCTCTGTTCTCACCTGTACTCTGTGTACTCACCTGTACTCTGTGTACTCACCTGTCCTCTGTGCTCACCTGTACTCTGTACTCACCTGTCCTCTGTTCTCACCTGTACTCTGTGTACTCACCTGTCCTCTGTGCTCACCTGTACTCTGTACTCACCTGTCCTCTGTGCTCACCTGTCCTCTGTACTCACCTGTCCTCTGTGCTCACCTGTACTCTGTGTACTCACCTGTCCTCTGTGCTCACCTGTCCTCTGTACTCACCTGTACTCTGTGTACTCACCTGTCCTCTGTGCTCACCTGTCCTCTGTACTCACCTGTACTCTGTGTACTCACCTGTCCTCTGTGCTCACCTGTCCTCTGTTCTCACCTGTCCTCTGTTCTCACCTGTTCTCTGTGCTCACCTGTCCTCTGTTCTCACCTGTCCTCTGTTCTCACCTGTCCTCTGTGTTCTCACCTGTCCTCTGTACTCACCTGTCCTCTGTTCTCACCTGTCCTCTGTACTCACCTGTCCTCTGTTCTCACCTGTCCTCTGTACTCACCTGTCCTCTGTGCTCACCTGTCCTCTGTGCTCACCTGTCCTCTGTACTCACCTGTCCTCTGTGCTCACCTGTCCTCTGTGCTCACCTATCCTCTGTGCTCACCTGTACTCTGTACTCACCTGTCCTCTGTTCTCACCTGTCCTCTGTGCTCACCTGTAGTCTGTGTACTCACCTGTCCTCTGTGCTCACCTGAACTCTGTACTCACCTGTCCTCTGTGCTCACCTGTACTCACCTGTCCTCTGTTCTCACCTGTACTCTGTGTATTCTCCTGTCCTCTGTGCTCACCTGTACTCTGTGTACTCACCTGTCCTCTGTTCTCACCTGTCCTCTGTGCTCACCTGTCCTCTGTACTCACCTGTCCTCTGTGCTCACCTGTACTCTGTGCTCACCTGTACTCTGTGTACTCACCTGTCCTCTGTTCTCACCTGTCCTCTGTTCTCACCTGTCCTCTGTTCTCACATGTACTCTGTTCTCACCTGTCCTCTGTTCTCACCTGTCCTCTGTTCTCACCTGTACTCTGTACTCACCTGTCCTCTGTGCTCACCTGTCCTCTGTTCTCACCTGTCCTCTGTTCTCACCTGTCCTCTTTGCTCACCTGTCCTCTGTGCTCACCTGTCCTCTGTTCTCACCTGTCCTCTGTTCTCACCTGTCCTCTGTGCTCACCTGTCCTCTGTGCTCACCTGTTCTCTGTTCTCACCTGTCCTCTGTGCTCACCTGTCCTCTGTCTCCGCAGCCTTTCTTTGTGGATCATAACAGCAGAGCCACCACCTTCATCGACCCCCGGCTGCCCCTCCAGAGCTCCCGGCCCCCCAGCCTGCTGACTCACCGCCAACACCTGACCCGGCAGCGCAGCCACAGCGCCGGGGAGGTCAGCCCGCGCCCTCGTCACCCGGGACCTCCAGTCCTACCCCGCCCTGCCAACACCTTCAGCTCAACAAACCGGGCCCAGTACCAAGAGGTGGTTCCAGTGGGTCAGTACCAGTCCACATGGTGATTGTTAAACACTTTATGAAGCTGATCAAACTCTTCTTTCCTGCTCAGCGTACAACGACAAGATCGTGGCCTTCCTCCGACAACCCAACATCTTTGAGATTTTACAGGAGAGACAGTCGGACTTCAGCCGCAACCACCTGCTCAGGTGACGAGCCAGCAGGGTCCAGTCCAGTGATCCAACACATACTGACCAGAACCAAAACATGTCAAACTGACACTGATGCTGCTTCCATGCTAACAGGGAGAAGGTCCAGCTGATCCGGACCGATGGGGTCTCAGGGCTGACCCGGCTGTCAGGTGATGCTGACCTCGTCATGCTGCTCAGGTGAATCACATCCCACCCCTCCTTAATGTCTGAGCGCTGAGTCAGCACTCAGTTTCCTCAACGTATTTATCTTTTTTATAAATAAAACTTTCAGCTCGGTTGAGAAGTGTCTCTGAATTTTACAACTTTTATACATTTTACAATAAATAAATTTATTTA